ATGGCACTGTTTCAAGTGCACAAGCAATTATGGGCACATAACTTTCATGTTGCTCTGTGCTCCACCTACCTGAGCTAGCAAGTCCTCTTCCTATTATTTACAACTACCAGATTCACTCTTCTCCATTGAAGGGATGAGGCGGTCTGGATCTCATTCTCCCAGAGTATTATTTTTTTTCTAGAACTTTATGCTGATATTATTAGCTTATATTGTCAAACCCATGACATTTATACAGTTCTTAATGTATCATCATTCCCACCTGGCCATGTCTGTTTTGAGATTGTTGTTTTCACTTCTGGTGTACTTCAAAGTCTTACCTATTTTCCCCCAAATGTGAAATTTGCCATTTTTAATTTGGCTATTTTTTTTCATTGATGCTTAGATATTTTTTAGATTTTTCTAAGTGGGTCGGGCTGAGAACTTTTTAGCATACCCTCATAAATAATTGCATCGTTTTTTATGGGTACTATACTAGTCAGATATCAATTAATAACAACTATTGTGTCTCTAATTTTGAAACCAGTCTTCTTGTTAGTTGGAGAAGTGATACCTTTCCCAAGAAGAGCACTAATTTGAACGCAACAGAATCAATCAAAATCTGAACTCATCCCACTGATCCTATGTTCTGCTGTGATAAATGTTACATCCAACAAATTGTTCAAAATATTATAAAATGTCTGAACTGATTTTAATATTCTTCAAAGAATTATCTGGAATAATAAAAAAGGTGTTTATATTAGCATATACTAGCAGTAGCGCCCGGCGTTTCCCGGGGATGTAACAGTAAGAGATAGATCAAGTATCGACCATCATAAAGACTGAAAAATAAAATTGACAAAGATTATTGTTTAAGGTTGACGGACACGCATGTCTTAATTAGTTTTTTTTTGTTGTTGTTGTTGTTTTTTTTGGTTTTTTGTTTTTTGTCTTTTTTACGAATTGGTCAAACCCAAACTCAAAGAAAAACATTATTTTCAATCGTTATGAGTCTACCGATTGAATAGAATTTTATTATAAACAATTGTCTTGTAAATGGAATTTTTAAAGCATTCTGAATGTAAAAAATAAAGAAAAAAAGTGTGCCACACAATAAGAAACACTACCAAAAAAAAAAAAAGTGAAGTTTTGTTGAAATCGGTTGCAAAATGTAGGAAATCCGATCCCATATATAAACGAACACACACACACACACACACACACACACACACACACACACACACACACACACACACGAACAACCTGGGTTTTATAATAAGTATAACTCGATATGAGTTGTCCCACTTTCATTCTCGCGATGCCTCTTAATCGTGTTTTCAAATAGATTTCGTGCAAAAACAATTGTGTTTTTCCCATTTTTGGCGCTGTCAGAACCACCGCAAGGTAATTTTACGTAGTCCTGTGAAGTTTTGTTGAAATCGGTTGAAAAATGTAGGAAATTCGATCCAATATATAAAACGTATAGACACACACACACACAAAACTGCGGTTTTATAATAAGTATGTCAAATAACTTTATACAGGATATCCGCAAAGTCTTTAGACAATTTTTTAAAAAAATCATTACATAAGGCTTAGACGAAGTGGCAACTAAATTTTTGTTGCATATTAACGTTAAAATTAAAATTCTTTTAACCCTTTGAGCCCTGACCACCACTCTACCAGTGGTAGAGAAAAATGGCGTAATAATGTCCAGCCACCACTAGTTGAACAGTGGTAGAGAAAAATAACTTAATGCCCAGCCACAAGTTGAACGGTAGGTAAACAATTGTAACTATATTTATACCGTAAAACATTACATATCAATTATTTGCGAATGTTGACTCTGGAGGTCAGGCAGAACGGTTAAAATTGTCCAGGAATGCAGGCCTCAAAATGATATTAATAATTTTATTAATATATTTTTGTGTTTCAAACTGAAATTTAATAATTACCAGAATTAAATAATGTAATTCTCTTAGATGTCTTTCCTGCAACGAGTAAGGGTCATATATAAATTTATTAAATAAATACTATTTAATTTACCTCATATTATGTGAACATTTTGACAGTCTCCAATTTCCGTTCCAATTTTAATAGGTTTTTCTATTTGTCTAATGACTTTGGGGACACCCGGTATTTATTCATGCTTTATAACGATTACTTTATCATTGTGTGTGTAAAAATATATCTATAAATATTTTAGTGCGGGTATATCCAGGATGTGACAGGTAATTAAGAACATAAAGAAAAACAAAGATATATAATAGAAAAAAATGAATACATTAAAATAAAAATAAATCAAGAAAAATTTTAAAATTGCACATGCTCAAGGTGAAAAATTTTTTTTTTTTTTTCATGCTCAAGGGGAAAAATTTTTTTTTTTCATGCTCAAGGTGAAAAATTTTTTTTTTTTCATGCTCAAGGTGAAAAATTTTTTTTTTTCATGCTCAAGGTGAAAAATTTTTTTTTTTTTCATGCTCAAGGTGAAAAATTTTTTTTTTTTCATGCTCAAGGGAAAAAAATTTTTTTTTTTTCATGCTCAAGGTGAAAAAATTTTTTTTTTTTTCATGCTCAAGGTGAAAAATTTTTTTTTTTTTCATGCTCAAGGGGAAAATTTTTTTTTTTTTTCATGCTCAAGGTGAAAAATTTTTTTTTTTTTTTCATGCTCAAGGTGAAAAATTTTTTTTTTTTTCATGCTCAAGGTGAAAAATTTTTTTTTTTTTTTTCATGCTCAAGGTGAAAAATTTTTTTTTTTTTTTCATGCTCAAGGTGAAAAATTTTTTTTTTTTTTCATGCTCAAGGTGAAAAAATTTTTTTTTTCATGCTCAAGGTGAAAAATTTTTTTTTCATGCTCAAGGTGAAAAATTTTTTTTTTTTCATGCTCAAGGTGAAAATTTTTTTTTTTCATGCTCAAGGTGAAAATTTTTTTTTTTTTTTCATGCTCAAGGGAAAAATTTTTTTTTTTTTTCATGCTCAAGGTGAAAATTTTTTTTTTTCATGCTCAAGGTGAAAATTTTTTTTTTTTCATGCTCAAGGGGAAAAATTTTTTTTTTTCATGCTCAAGGTGAAAATTTTTTTTTTTTCATGCTCAAGGTGAAAATTTTTTTTTTTTTTTTCATGCTCAAGGTGAAAAATTTTTTTTTTTTTCATGCTCAAGGTGAAAAATTTTTTTTTTTCATGCTCAAGGTGAAAATTTTTTTTTTTTTCATGCTCAAGGTGAAATTTTTTTTTTTTTTTTCATGCTCAAGGTGAAAAATTTTTTTTTTTTCATGCTCAAGGTGAAAAATTTTTTTTTTCATGCTCAAGAAAAAATTTTTTTTTTTTTTTTCATGCTCAAGGGAAAATTTTTTTTTTTTTTCATGCTCAAGGTGAAAAATTTTTTTTTTTTTTCATGCTCAAGGTGAAAAAATTTTTTTTTTTTCATGCTCAAGGTGAAAAATTTTTTTTTTTTTTTTCATGCTCAAGGTGAAAATTTTTTTTTTTTTTTTTTTTTTTCATGCTCAAGGTGAAAAAATTTTTTTTTTTTTCATGCTCAAGGGAAAAATTTTTTTTTTTCATGCTCAAGGGAAAATTTTTTTTTTTTTTTCATGCTCAAGGTGAAAAATTTTTTTTTTTTCATGCTCAAGGTGAAAATTTTTTTTTTTTTTCATGCTCAAGGTGAAAAAATTTTTTTTTTCATGCTCAAGGTGAAAAATTTTTTTTTTTTTTTTTCATGCTCAAGGTGAAAAATTTTTTTTTTTTTTTTTCATGCTCAAGGTGAAAAATTTTTTTTTTTTTTCATGCTCAAGGTGATTTTTTTTTTTTTTTTTCATGCTCAAGGTGAAAATTTTTTTTTTTTTTTTTTTTTTTTTCATGCTCAAGGTGAAAAATTTTTTTTTTTTTTTTCATGCTCAAGGTGAAAAATTTTTTTTTTTTCATGCTCAAGGTGAAAATTTTTTTTTTTCATGCTCAAGGTGAAAAATTTTTTTTTTTTTTTCATGCTCAAAGTGAAAAATTTTTTTTTTTTTCATGTTCGAGGTGAAAATTTTTTTTAATATTCAAAGTAAGTTCATATTTGTATGTGTATTTTTTTTAATCTATGGTTTTATTTCATAACATTTAAATGTATATACCCATTAAAAATTTTGCTAAGTGTGCCATATTTATATTTGCTCCTAAAAAAAAATGAGAAACACTGCTGTAGATATACAAATCAAGCAGATGCAATTCTGGAGAATTCAATGGCCAGACGTTGACAGGAGGCATTGTTAAAATACTCAGCCGGTTACTCCTGGGTCTCGTGGAACTTTCTTCCTCATGTTTTAATTGTCACAGAATTTAACCTTTCCAGAATAATGTCAAAGACTAAGAACAGGAGACGTACCTTTCCTGGGAAAGACATGATTTAAATTCTTATTCTTTAAATTCTTCGTTTTTTGGGTGTTTTTTGGGTTTTTTTGTTTTTCTTCTCCCAAAGTAACTGGCAGAAAAAGACAAGAGTACCCCAATCTGCTATTCCATTTTTAACCTACAGCTGGACAAATATGAATTTATGTGCTTTCCGAGGGCATTTAGGTTGAGAGAATGAAACGAACAAGAATGTCTCCACATTCCACCCCCACCACCGCCGCCTTAACCATTACACTACATGCATGCGCGCACACACACACACACACACACACACACACACACACACACGAGATTGCGCTGAAATATTAAAAGCGCAATTTATTTCCCAAAATCTGACCAATGTTCAAATATCAGATTTGGTACTAGGGTAACAATAACAATCATTTTTGGACTACTTCCTTATATATATATATATATATATATATATATATATATGTGTGTGTGTGTGTGTGTGTGTGTGAGAGAGAGAGAGAGAGAGAGAGAATGACGGATCGAAATCTGTGAGTTATTTAATTCCATTTAGGTCCTAGGATGATTTATTAGTCTTTGGCATGCAGAAAAAATTCAATTCATGTGAAAACACTCGGAAGTAAATGGAATGAAATACTCATCACTTTCTCCCTATTGTTAAGTCTCTCTCTCTCTCTCCTTCTCTCTCTCTATTTCTCCCCCTCTCTCTCTCTCTCTCCCCTCTCCCTTCCCATTGTTCCCCACTCTTCTCTCGCCTACATCTAAACGATTTCATACCGAATGAACTCTTGAACGAAATAAAAACCCAAGCTCAATAACACTGATATTTTCTAAGGACAACATGTCACACTTTACCGTTCGTTCTCTCTTTCTATTTCTCTTCTATTCTTTTTTTTTTTTTTTTTACTCTTTCATTTGTCCGTTTATAAAAGCAAGTAACGCAGCGTTGACGACCAAAACAATAACAAGTTGTTGTTGTTGCTATTCGTAAAAGTAGTAGTAGTTTAGATTTTTTTTTTTTTTTGTTATTTCGTGAATTATTACTGCGATTGTTGAAAGACTAGATATTTGAGCATTTACTTTTTGATTCAACTCCTTCTTTCTGTAAGCAAAAATATAAGTAATCAGCCGAGGTCAATTTGTGTAAACATGGTCTTCCAATCAGAAGCAAACAATATGGCCTTTGCCGGCATCTGTCTATCTTTCTCTCTCTTCCTTTTTTCCTTCCGTGTCATATCCCTTCCTAATGTGGGGGATCATGGATCTCCAACAACTTCACGTCTTTTATCGATCACAGCAATACTTGCTTCTTCACAACCCCCTTTTTTTACACTTGTCGCACCTCCATATGACTTTATTAATACTTGTTAAATAGGTGACTCCTCCAAAACTTACCCTAAGTTTTATTCTCTAATTAGCTTTTTATTAACGCTTTTCCCAGTAACATTCTCAGTAAATATTTATGCAGATGATACCACAAGATGATCTGTCTTACATCTGATCTCTCCTTTTCTTCGTTGTTATTTTTTGAACCGTTCGCGGCACCTCCACAGAAACGCGATACCTAAGGTTTAAAACAAATTTAAAAAAAATAAAAATCTATCTTGAAGCTTTTATTTTAGTTTTAATTTCAAACTAATACATTAAATTTAATATTTCAAACAACAAAATACTTTGCTGTATTTCAAAACTAATTTGAAATTTTAAACTAATTTAAAATGACGAGAAGGAGTTTTCGTTTTGAAATTACTAAAATCTTTGAATTTAGCCCCATCTTAGCTATCACAATGTAAAAACTTCATTAAAAATGTCTTTCAAAAGTAAAATATTTTCTGGAATTTTATTTGTGGAATATTAGCTGATTTAAATTTTCATTAAACTGATTTGAAACTGTTGTGGCCTTGTTAGGACCAGAGACACAAAAATGGGAAATGAGTTAAACAAATATATTAACAGAAACAGTAATACAAACATATACAAACGAGAGTGTTACAACAAGACTGTCAGAGCTGACTGCTGGAAACTTCCCTCTCCAAAAGGCAGTACCTGCTCCTATTTATAGCTGGGAGAGTCCATGCGTGCGTGGGTAAATTACCATAACAGAAACAAATATTACTTTAAGTTTAAAATATCGCAGAAATGTATTTTTAACACAGCGGTAGCTGTTTATTTAAGTGTTGACAGCTTGACAGCTTGACTGACAGATGGATGATTATCTAATTTTGTGCTACCGTGGATGTATCTATAAAATTGTTTGAGGAAAAAACGTGAACGCCTTGTTTATATAATTTTTAATTACCCAGTAATATTTAAGAATTTGGAAAATATTCTCTGTAGTCTAATGTTTTATTGAATTTTAGGTACTTTAACTTTAAATTTACTATAGTTATCGCTCTTATTTTCTGAAAATGTCATGTATGGGCATCTGTATTCACAAATATCGGCACGTTTATATACATACAAAAAATTCAAAATTCTTTTTTGTAATAGGCTTTTCCATTTATGATTAGTAAATAAGATATTTTGTTCATAACAATATCACCTAACCGGGACAAATTAAGACAGAGTTTTAAAAGATTTAAAACTTTATAAATTATTTTAATTAAAATTTAAAAAAATGAAAAGTTCTTGTAAAAATTAATTATTCGTCGAATTTTTTCTCTGAATACAATAGTGTCCATAACATATCTTATTCATAAAAACAATAAAAAGCTTTTCTAATTAAATAATGTTGTTCTATTGCATTTTCTATTTTACGATTCAGAACAGATTTTCGGTCCTCTTTTACAAAAAGAAATTGATGACTTAAAATCTCCAAGTAGTTCTAGGTATAAACATTAAGTAGGTCAAAATGTAATTTCTCAAAATTTGATAAAATTAAGTAAGTGTTGTTGTAAAAAATGTAAAATAGAACAGCGTATTTCCTGCTCATCCCTACTAATCTGAGAATAGACTGTTCCTACTTATAAATATGGCAAGTAGTCATGTTAGAGTAGGATTTGAGGAGTAGTTAATTTACTCAAATTTTCCCATTCTATTTATGAGTATTTAATAAACCTCTTCTTTGTTTTCCCTACCTAGTCTTCTGTTTCTTTGATACTCTCTCTAATTACGGCCTTCCTAATTCTTGGCTATTTTAAACAAAGACAAGATTACAAAAAAAAAAAAAAACAAATATTTTTACCAAGATTTTCTAAAAAAAAAAAAATTTCTAAAATGATTTCATTCATGTGTGAAAGTTCTGAAAGTTTCATTAAAATCTGACAATTATTTGATTTTTGCAAGAATTTCCAAATCATGTTTTGCACCGTAAAATAGACACTAAAATTTCCTATACTAATTACACCCCACCCTGGCTGACAAAAAAAAAAAAAAAAAAAAAAAACATTTTTAACCAAAATTTTGAACATTCTAAAAAGAAATAAGAAATATAATTTAATGATAAAAAATCTTTTGATATTTCCTCTTAATAATAATATAAAGCTCTTGACGATAAAACATTTTTTCGTCATAGTATGCTCATTTTTAGCGAATCGGTGGTGGTACCTACGTTAGACCATACTGAGTTTCTTTAACTATTCATATGCTGCGCCATCGGATTTCTCTATCATGCTTTCCTTCGTCTGGCAAGCATTTTATAACCTGGTACCAGATTAAACAAAGATTAGGAAGTACAAACAAAAATAAAGGAAACCTTTCATCTCATAATTTCATAAAACAACGACTCGTGTGTCGCTTTGTTTTCATTAAAAATAACACCTTATTTCTATTTATTGATTGACCCGAGGCCAACAAGATCTAAGACCATTTCCTGTCAGTATCTTTCACATTGCAATTAAAGGGACCACGGCCAGTCACTGATGCTTAAAGCGTCCCAAAAGATAAATTCTGCAGGAACTGGACACTTGAACACTCTGTATATACGAGTGTGTGGCTTCCCATTAAACTCAACCTTATGGCGTCCTAGGCAAGACGATAAAATACGTCCGACAGCAAGGCCTCTGATCAGGAGCTTTTGTAGCCTAATTGCAGATGTTCCCAGGTTCACCTTGACCCGGGGTGGTAGCACCTTTTAGGGTCTCAACTATGGGGTCTGTTTCGTATTTACTTCTATAATTAATGTATAAGGTATCGTAAAAAAATTACATGAATTAATGATGGTGAAATAGTACATGCACAAAATAACAGAGGCTAATTGCTCTGTAGTACAAGATAACATTTATTTAACAAAAATAACAAAAGGAAAGTTTAAGAGTTTCTTTACCTAGAAATAAATTGCATGCACAACGAAAATTGTTAATGTATTTGGGTGTGATTTGCCTGTGTATGTTTGTTGTGTGTGAAGATTCCACAGCCCCTTTTTTTTTTAAAGTTGATGGCACACACATTGAAAGGAAGAAAAACAGGAAAAGAGAGAATTACTTAAGAGTTTGCCCTTTTTTATACTCTCAGAGCTGCTACTGGTAATATCTTTACGTACTTTTTTAAATCTTATTTTTATGCTGCTTGTTGAACGTGTGGCACAATGAAAGCTTTTCTGTCTTTGTTGTGAAATCTTTATCTGTTAAATAATGGCTCCAGTGTCTCACAATATCTATCATTGCTTCGACTTACTTTTCAACAGCAGAATGGCGTTTCTCTGCAGTATTTTTTTCTTTTTTGTATATTTTTTTGTTTCATAGGCAAATTTTATAGTAATTGTCTCCTTTTGTTTTATTCAGTTTTATTTCGAGTTGATTTTATCTTTTTTATGTGCAGTTTTTTTTATCGTTGTTGTCTCTTTTCTGTTTCATGTGCAGTTTTTTTTATCGTTGTTGTCTCTTTTCTGTCTCATGTGCAGTTTTTTTTATCGTTGTTGTCTCTTTTCTGTTTCATGTGCAGTTTTTTTTATCGTTGTTGTCTCTTTTCTGTTTCATGTGTAGTTTTTTTGTTGTCTTTTTTTATGTTAGGCGATGATCATAGAAACCGTAAAATATAATTTTTTGCCTAAACCATTTTTCTTTCGTCTGTAGATTTCTTTTCTGTTTTATTACAGCACAGACGTTACACTTTCACAAAAAAAAACCTGTAATTTCTAACCCAAATCTCTTTCATTGGTGGTTGTCTCCCATTTTATAGATACCAGAGAAAAGGAACATAGGTTGTATTATTCGAAAAAGTGTAGTGTGTGTGTGCGTGTGCGTGCCCCCGAAGTTGTCCGTGAGAAAGCATAAGAGTAGCGGTGATGAGAGCGGGAAAGAAATGGAGGGAAAGCCGGAAGAAAGTACCACGAGTGTCAAACCCCGTTTGAGATTAAGAACGGGAGAAATGAAATCTCAAACAGTAGCAACGTTGTTTTATCCGTAGAAAAGATAACATTTATCTAAAAAAATTCAGACTGCTATCAAATTTACCGGAACGGAACATTTTCTCTTGCTCCCTTATTAATAATAAAGATATATCTTTTTTAAATTCGTCCTTTCAATTTCACAAGAAAAAAACTACCCGTTTCGTTTTATATTCTCTACTAAAAATTCCCCGAAAAAAAAAATGATAGGATTACATATGAATCAACATTTCCCTGTAGCGTCAAAATATTTCTACGCTCCACCGAAGATGAAAATGTCGTTCTCCGACCGTCTACCTAAGTGCAGTGGTCCTTAAACTTTTCTTCTCCAGTACCCCTTTTCATATGTTTGCTTCAGCTGACACCATAAAATTGCACTGGCAAATGAGGCAGAGCTAAATGTAATAGATTTAATTTCATGTATCTACGTTTTGCTACG